TAACCGGCGAACAAGATCGAGGATTCGTTGTACAGGGTGCTGCAAACACTCGTTTGCTTTTATCAAGCTTATGAAATATTGATAGACGTTACATACATACATACATCAAATTATTACGCATTTTTTAGTAGATTTTAACATATAAGTACACACGTATATATATACATATATAAGTGTGATACTTTCTTCCTATCTTAAATCGATCGTCAGTCTTCTTGAATACAAAATTAACTGACAATTTCTTTGATCTTTAAAAGAGTACTACAGATAACAACAAATTATTCATATTTCTTTCCTATAAATCAATCGAATGATTTGATCTATCCGAATATTTACGATCGTTCGAAATTTTCTAACATTTTTTTTTTTATTTCTCGTCATTAAACTTATTTTTAATTATTCATTTTAAGTTACACGTAATTGTGAATATAGAAAATAAAATAATCAATCGGTAAACAACATTGTAATATTTCAAATGATTTTAAACAAATGCAGTACTAGCATATGCAAAGATAATTCTTTAAATAAATCATCAAATTTGCTCGATAAAGAGAAATATTTTATGGGGAGATCAATAAAAATACGATGATATTTAAGTTGAAATATTGTATCAACATTCCATGACAAATTGTTGCCATCCTTTTTTTTAATGCATACTTACTTCCCTTTTTCGTAAACATTTGACAAATTTTGTCTATTCTAATAGATCGTACCATTAAACAAAAATCCTAAATCGAAGTTTAAATTTCATTTTCAAATATTCCTAGCATTAAATAGTATACGAATTCATACTGAACATATATCTATATAGATATTTCGAAGTATATCGAACGAAAAGAGAAATACAACGGGCCAACGATCCCAATTACAAACATTTCTCGTGGCTTTTTAGGGTTGCATTTGCTTGAGAGTATAGAGGGGTCGGTACATTTCATAGTTCCCGCACCCTTTGCACTCTTTCCGTCTCATTTTTGTTCTCTTTTTCTCTGATATATCCTACTCCGACGGTTAGAACACCGCCTTCACGGCACTTCGGCCAAAAGTACTTTTCCTTTTCGAGTGCGTACGAGCACATGCGGGTTGATTTTCTTCTTCCCTTCCTCCCTMCCCCCCGCCTCTCTTTTATTTTTTTCTTCTCTCATTCACTCATTCATTCATTCATTCACTCACTCACTCTTAGCGTCACCTTATGCGACACACGAGTTCCTGTATCAAGAATCACTCGTTGATCTTTTCTATGAATCCATTAAAGAAAAAAAAAAGAAATTGGACTTTGACAAAATGTCTAAAATATTAACACCTACCTAGTTATTTCAAACAATAATTTTGCAATATATTACGACAAGTGTATAAACCAAATATATAAAATATTAAATAAGTAAGGAATTAAAAAAGATAATAGAAGTAAAGTAAAAGTAATGATATTTAAATAATATTATTTATATTATAATATTACATAATATTTATTTATTATTTAAATAATAAATAAAAGATAAAGAATTCAAGACATAATAAAAAAATATTAAATATTTCTATCACCACTTTGCACAATTAAAAAAATATAACTTCCTTGCTAAAAATTCTATGGAAAAAGGAAATAAAAAAAAAAATAAGAAGAAATGTTAAAGATTGATAAGAAAGAAATGAAAGAAAGTTCGAAAGAGGAGGAGGAAAGTAGATATATATATATATATGCACTATGAGAGAGAGAGAGAGAGAGAGAGGGATGGAAAAGAAATGAGTGAAAAGTAGGAACGACAGAGGGTGATAATTTGTTAGCATGAGCGCACCCCAAATGCGCGAAATCCCGTCGAAGTGCGGCCCGTGCGCATTGTTTCCTTGTTTGCCAGGTGTTTCGAGTACTAGAAGTGAGTGGGGGTTGCGCCATTGTTACGAGAAGTCGTGCAACCGCTGAACAAAGCCGGCGATCTAATGCTCTTTTATTGTGCATTGTCCCGGGCCAAATCAAGGAACGGGGAACACACGAACCAAGGGATCTCCAGCAAACGCGTTTCGAATCCGAGGGTGAGACGACACCGCACACAGTTTCCACCTCCACACAACTTTCACGTCCAACCCCTCGAACTCCCACCCACCCTCAAACATCCACCTCAAAATCTACTACTACTACTACTAGTACCACTACTACTATTATTAAACACCAACAGTTACTGCCGTCCACACACTACTCGTTGATATATACCACCATACACCACCATCTTCTCAAAGTGTTTAAAAGATTTTCTACCAATTGGAATTTGTCATACTTCGAATGAAAATTATATTGTAATAACAAATTTTATGGACGAATTTAAATCTAATTTGTTTTATCGTTATTATATGGGTGTTTTAAATCAAATTAATTATTTATTATAGGATGTATATATATATATATAGTATCTAATATATATATATATATATATATTAGATTTATAATAACAAATTATAAAGGAATTAAAATCAAATTTGTTTTATCGTAATTATATGTGTGTTTTAAATTAAATTAATTATTTTTATTATAGGATGTATATGCATATATATTAGATTTATAATAACAAATTATAGACAAATTTAAATCAAATTTGTTTTATCGTAATTATATGTGTGTTTTAAATCAAATTAATTATTTATTATAGGATGTATCTATTAGATTGACTAAAAGATTGTCCCAATTAGAATTTGTCATACTCCTACTGAAAATTATATTAGATTTATAATAACACAAATTATAAACGAATTTAAATCAAATTTGTTTTATCGTAATTATATGTGTGTTTTAAATCAAATAAATTATTTATTATAGGATGTATATGTATATATATTAGATTGGCTAATTAAATTCATACGGTTTTTGTTATTAATTTATTTTAGAATGAATAAAATTGTCTAGATTTATTTGTTATTTCTAAGCTTTATTAATGCGATGATTTCAAGACTCCAGGATATTATTATTCTTCTTGCCATTCAATAAATTCATACTTATCTATGTTTGCAAATCCGACAGAATTAATGAATCAAAGACCAAGCTAATATATGGGATGGGCTGTGTTTTTTATTATATTTTTTTTTTTTTATAGATAAAATAAGAAAACCAATTTCATTCGCATATCCGTGAAGGTTTATTATACCGTCACACGTATTTCCCCTAAATCATGATAATAAATAAAATAATGATTTCATTATAATTATCTAGCAAAATCATTGAAGAAATAAATTGATGGTTAATTAGAAAAAAATGAAATACATTCTTTTGCTAATTCGTTCCTATCGCAAAACATCGAATCAATTAATTGTTTTATCTAATTTCACTTTCTTATCTTTTCATTATTTTATCCCGAAGATTTTTCAATGAATCTTCTTTCGTTACATCGAAGGGTATAAAATTGTTCATCAAACATCTCGTACTTATTTTTTAAACAATACACCTTTCTCTCTCCCTGCCTTTCGCATTTTATTTGTTTCACGACATCGATAAATGAATTTGGAATTATTTTTATTATTGTTATTTTTTTTCTCGTTTAAATGAAGGAACATTTTTCTTATTTCGAAGCGAATAAATTGTAAATCGTTATTATTTTTTTTCTTTTGTGTTTTTCATTTTATCTATATTTATATAATATATATATATAGTAACTATACAGTTGATAGAAAAAAAAAAAGAAAAATATTTGCACCCCTCATTTAATTGCAATTCCACGTTAACGTTTCTATCACAAACAAGAAGAATCTTTTTTTTTCCATTCGACCGAAAAACAAAACACATTTAATTTACTTTCGTATGAAAAAATGACGCTCGTCCAAGATTCCGCTGACATCTAAAATTACGTTTTTTATTGCAAATTCCAATCATTTTTCTTTTGCTATACATTTTTTTCTTCTTTTTACGAAAACAAATCACCGATCTACCGAAAAAAAATAAGTCAGCATTATGGAAAACACACATTTCTCGGAATTTTTATTTGAAGTTATGGTTAAAGATTATTATTGGACAAATTGAATAATTTTCTAATATCTCGCACACAGAGATTAATATTTCAAATGTTTTTGGTAACACGATTTTTTTATATTAATCAATATTTTTTATATTAATCAATAAAAAACGTATGGTAGAATTATTTAAGAAAAAAATTGTTTTCCTCTTTAAATTCGTATCGTTAACATTCGACAAAAGTTAAAATTATTCTCAAAACATTAATCACAGAAACGCGAGATGATGTACAAATATTTATTTCTTCAAAGAATTTTTATACTATTAATGTCATTTTTATTTTCATTTGTTAACAACTTTACGAGATTTCTGTCAAAGTATATTGTATGTAAAAGCTACTGAATAATAGTATATTATATCTAATTAATTAATGTTCACATTTTTTTTATATTCGAATAGATTTACTCGAAGGAAACGAGTTGTGCAAATATCTTTTTTTCTTTTTGTTTTTTATTTTTATTTTCATCCCCAACCAGAGCTCACTCGTACACATTAAATCACGCTCACAAGAATTTTCTGAAGAGAAACCCTCATTCACACTTTGTTTCACACAATGACAATTTCCATTTCGTTAATTTATACTCATACATAATTATTACGTACGCGAAACAAATCGACGTACTAATTAATTCGCTGCTATTATATCGATTAAACGAATGCAGATAAAGACGATACAATTATGGCTGACAATTTGACGTAACTTATTTCTTTATTTTTTTTTTTTTATCCTTCTAAATAAATAAATTATCTTCAATAATTATTTCGAAAAGTTCATTCCAACGATATACGATCGATTTATAATAAATAAATAAATACATATACATATTTTATATTCTAATTTGATAATTATTATATTCAAAAACATTTAACGCGAAAAATAATAATAATAATTAAATAATAATAAATATATATATATATATATATAATAATCCACAGTATATCGATTCGTTATTACCAATCGAAGGGGGAAAAAAAAGAAAAGTTGATTAAGCAACATATTTAAATACTATCATTGTGTTAAATATTACAATGTGATATTTTTCGTAATTCATATGGGGTTTGTGAAAAATTACTTTCAAGGGCCATCGATCGCGCCTGGAATTCATTTATGTTTTTTTTATTTTTTTGATCACCGTCTTCATTCTATTCCCATAATCCAATAACATTCTTAACATACGCACACGCGCGCACACACAGACACACAGACATAATTAACATGTATCTAATTGAAAAACATAATTCGATTCATTCGCGAATACTATATCGAACTAAACACATAAAACAAAAATAAAAGAACTTTATTTAAAAAAAAAATAAATTAAAAAAAGCAATTTTTTATTTTCTATCTAAGCAATAAAATGACAAGTAAATTTTTAACCCCCCCCCCTCTGATTGAAACAACAACCCCTTTGAATGATATTATTATCATCATACAAATATTTTATAAGTATAATCGATCAATTCTAAACACGCAACAAGGCAACAGCAAATTATGTTTGTTGAAAATCATTATTTTCTTTAATCGTTCCCGACCAATAGAAAATTCTAATTGGCATTAAAATATAATAGAATTATTGTCAGTACAACCTTGAACCCGCTATAAACGTAATATCATCAGCTTATTGCTAACAATACAATAAATAATTATCTTTTCTCATTCAAACCTTAAGCATACCAATCTCAAAACCCACCCACCCACTCACCCCCGTCCCTACCCCCGCACCGAACACACAATCCAAATTCTCTGACAACAATTAAATACATTTATCACGTTCACAATTATGGTAACGAAACAATTGTATGTTATATTAATCATTTTTTTTGTAGACACAAATTTACACGTATGGAATATTATTGCAACGAAACACATACAATTTATTAAAATAAAATATAAAATATAAAATATAAAATAAATAAAATAAATAATTAATGAATCTATTGTGGTGAGCACCTAATTTATATCTCGTCTTATCAATGACGACAACAATGACGACGACGACGACGACGACAACTATGCCAAATTTCATTTAGTCAAAGCTTAATTTAAATAACGTTTCTTTTTTTTTTTTTTTTCTTCTTTTTTATTTTTCTTTTTTATTTCTTTTTATTTGTTTGTTTGTTTCTTTCTTTCTTTATGTATAAATGCATTCGACAAAGCGTGTATCTCGTTTCTAAGTGTGTGTTTTAAATACACACACACACACATACAAGAGAAAAGAAAAAAAATATATATAAATCAGTAATTTTTAATTAAAAAATAGTAATAGAGAGAGAGACATCGAATAACCACGCTTCACGAGTAGCAAAGCTTAGAAAATACGCACCGGTATATTATATATAATATAATATATATATATATATATATATACAAGATGTCCCATAAAAAATTGGTGATACGAACGAGCATGGGAAAGGGAGGAGAAGGGAGAAGGGAAAGGATGATTTTACGTAGAAAAATAATTTTCGGATATTTCTAAGAGAATCATTATCGTGTTTCTTAATATTTTGACAAGAAATTTTCGGTATGACGAAATGTTTTATATAGATTCTACTCTTGTATGCTTATTGGACGAGACTGTTTCAAGGATTTTTACTGGGGTGTCGTCAATCTTAGAAAATAAAATATGAATACCAGGAAGAAAGGAATAAAGAACCTTGGTGGAGTATAATCTTTAAACTCACATTGAACTTAAATCATTCAGTGATTCCGAATCCTACATTTCCAAAAAACAAAACAAAAATTTGGTCAAAGTCGCGGTCAGGATTTTGATTATTCTTTATAAAACATATAACCTCTTGCATCAATAAAATATCATTCCTAATATATGTTGTTAATATACTTGACATTTTTTTATACGTAAAATCATCCCGTGATCGTCATTAATTACAAGACACCCTGAATATATAATTTCTATAAATGCGGGAGAGGAGCAGAAACGATGAGGACGAAGATGACGACGACAAATGTTGCGCGGCGTTCCTAAAAGAAAAAAAAAAGAAAATGAACAAAATGAAATATATGGCTATGTTAATATGAATTTTCTCATTCATTTGAGACATGAATAGTGTCCGATTTATTATAGGATCTTGATGTAATACGATGATTGGTTGCGAATCAATTGAAAAAATCATCATCGTCGAAAGGATCTTCCTCGCGTATGAAGATGTTTACTGATTCCGATTTCCTAATGTATTGATCAGATGGTCTACCTTTGTTGTTACTGTTAGAACTGGCGTATTTGTTTTGCCTGGTATTTTTAAGGGGCAACGTTGTGGTGCAACGTTCAGGTACGCTGTCCTCTAATTCTGATTTGAAGGTAAATGCATCCTCGTCGTCGAACCTAAGATCACCGTTAAAAAAAGAATCTCGCGTATTGCTAGCTTCGGAAACGAAACTAATACCACTTTCCAACGATCTGTGAGTATTATTATCTTTCGTTTCGTTAAGAATTTCTTCCGGTGTTGCTTTTAAATCTGAGGATAATCTTCGTCTATCGGAAACGTCGCTGGTCGATGAGACATTAGGTGAATTTGTCAAATCATCATCGAACAAACTCGTTCTTTTGTTGTAATCTCGTTGGATGAGTTCTCTTCGAGGAAGTGTTATAACATCCTTGCTCGATGATGATCGTGTCGTAGTCGTCGTCGTGGTGGTGGTCATTGTTGTTGTCGTCGTTATCGATGATGGACTCAAAGGTGGTTCCCTTTTAGAATCGGCGACTCCCAGATGCATGCGTAACTCGGTCGGGGTTAAGGATTCAACAGTGGCAGCTGATGATTCAACTTGTTCAATGCTCTGAGCAAAATCATCTTCGAATGGACTCTGAGTTTTCGGTTGGATTTGTTGTCTACCAGCTTTATGCCTTACAACACGTTTCCGATGTAACGTTTCACTTTTAAAATCCGGTCCCTCGGACCAATACGGTCTCTCCGGCCAACTATCGTATTCTTGATCGCTACCCCAATAAATTTCACGACTTCTCGATCTCTCTGATGGCCTTAAATACGGATCTGAATCATTGTCACTGCATTCCGATCTGGATGTACCAAATTTGTTCCTTGCTTCGGCGTATACCATCTCACCGTAATCGGTATTACGACCTTCGTTGGCACTGTTAGGCCTTTTAGGCCAATGCCTCTTCCTACCGGTTGTATTGTATCTACCCGATTCTTCAATAGCTCGTTCAGGTCCCCCATATTCCTCGTCCCATGTCCCAACATAATCGTGTGGCCTCTCTCTACTCTCCCGATAATAATAATAACTTTCCTTGGATGGATATTCACTGTCCGGTGGGCTAGTAGCACGCCTGCTCCAAAATCTACCACCGAATTCCTCGTCCCATCGTCTTCTTTCGTATTTACGTCGGTTACTCGTCCATCTGTCATCGTCCTCGTAACCAACAACGCTCTCCTCGCTGCCAAATGTGTCCTCCTCTTTAACCATTAACGTTACTTTTCTCTCGGTATTTCTCCTACGTTCCTCCTCATAAAATGGATCGTCCGGTATCAAATTCCATCGTTGTGATTTAGATCGGCATTTCCAAAATCTCGGTATGTACTCGTGCGGGGGCACTGGGGGCGGGGGCGGCTCGTAACGATCTTCGTTGTCCTTGTAAAATAATTTCCGATGTTGACAAGATCTTGGACCTTCCTCCCATTGAGTTTTTTCGTGCCAACGTTGAGACGACGAGGATGACGACGAGGATGGGTCACGTGGCCTGTGTGGAACATTTTTCGGCCAGGGCCCCCGTGATTTTCTAACAACACGCCCACGAAAATTACGATCCCTCTTATCCGATCTGTTGTCAATAGGTCCCGATGCTTCCTCGTAAAAGGATCTTTCATCGAATTCAGCAGTATCGTATCTCGGATGTCTGAGGAACCAAAATTTACCATCATGCCGTCCTCTCCCATTGCTTTCCTCGCTTTCTTCCTCGTCCTTCCATTCGTTATCGCTGTCCCCTGAATGTCTATGACCAGTGGATACTGATTTAAAAGGTTGAATATCGCGATGAAAATCTTTGCCATCGGGTGACCACGGTGACGTACCACCTACCGAACGTGCACCCTCGCATGATGACCTATCCGAACCGATCATGCTCGTTTCGAACTTTGCCCAATTACCATCTTCCTTGTTAATAATAACCTCTTCACGATTGTCTTTAGTTTCATCGTTAAACGGACAAAATACATCCTCGAATCCACCGGTAGTAGTTCCTTTGATTTCTTTACCAGCAAGGTGTGTTCCCGTATTAAGCATTTTGATTTCTTCAAAAATATCCATCGCCACGGCTTTCAAATCATCGTCATCCTTTTTCTTAACTGATGATTTTTTAGGACTCGTAGATACAGCTGTTGTTGTTGTTGCTGCAGTTGCAGCTGCCGCTGCTGCTACTGCTGCTGCTGCTTCTGGTGGCAAACTATCCGAAAACAAACTTAACAATTCGGAATCTGTTGCCAAAGACGCGTGTATTTGTTGTTTATTCCTTCTTTCGGTCTCAACAAAGATCTCCCTTAATGCTGCGTATCTGTCACTGGACGTTGACGTCGAGTACCTTTCCTCCATTTTTTCAGTCACCGAAGATCTACCGGTGTCATCTGTATTCTCAATTATAACTTTATCCGAAATACCATTAACTTCGCTACCCTTATCCGATAATGTTTCGGATTTATCTTGACTACCTACCATTGTCGTATCCTCAATCATATCATCTTCTATATCAGCTTCGATATCCGCTTCGGTTTCTAATTCTATTTCTAAATCTATCTTCCTATTAGATTCTAAATTCATCGACATCTCGATAACATCATCTTTCATCTCATCGATCTCTTCCATCGTCTCCGTCGGCTTATCATTTTCAATTTCATTGTTTTCATCGATCTCATCTTCCCTAGTTTCATCTTTCATTAATTCTTCGTTACTAGGCGGCAATTTAACAGTCAAATTGACCATAGCCACGATCGCTTCGGCTAATATCTCATTTCGATTTTTATCATCGGATTCTTTAGGTTCCTCCTCAGATTCTTTATTCTCGGTATCGGTGATCATTTCATCGTCGTTTCTTTCCTCTTTAGATTCTTCCAACATTTGTTCCATTTCAAGTAATTCCCGGAATACGGCATACTTGTCGTATGTCGGTTCCTGTTCCTTCCTCATTGGTTCCTGATCGAAATTAGCTTTGAAAAGTGGCTCCCCGCTGACGAAACTGGTCTCAGCTATTTGACACGTACTGGATTGTTTCGTTAATGTCGTCAATTGTTCTGTTTTCGGTTGAACAATCGGTTTATCTTCTTTCGGTTCTATCGTTGATTCTTTGCTCGATAAATTGGCCAAACATTCGGTTAATTGTTGTAACGTTAAGCTTGTTAATTGTTGTACCGTCATACCAAGGCTGCTAGCTAATTCGTCTAAATTTGCAGAAGTTAATTGACTGAGCGTAATGTCCAACGAGGGTTTAGGTTTTTTCGTTGTAACTGGTGTTGTAACGGTTGATGAAAAATACGTTGATAAATTAGTCGTTGGTATCATCGTACTAAAGGAATCTTCGAAAGCTGAGGTCGTCATTGTAGAAATCAAATCAGTTCTCGCAGACATTTGTGGGATTGGACTAAAATTATCATCGAATTGACTCTTTGTATCTATCGGAGGACTTTTCATCCTTTCTTTGATTCTCGTAGGTGACGGAGATGATTCCTCGCGTTCGACAATGAAATCATTATGATGAAAATGAGATTCGGTAGTATAGGGTGGTCTAGGTGGGGGTTTGATAACACCTCGAGCAGATTGTTTCTTCGGTGGCAAGGGTGGTGGATTGATCATAATACTAGCAACGCCTCTCGGCGGGGGTTCAGGAACAAGATCTAATTCGGCACTGGAACTGGATAATCTAGAGTTTGCATCGGAGGAACATGATCTCAATGGTGATGCTGGTGATTCGGTCGTAGTCGAAAAATCGACTGGAAATGATTTTTCAATGGACTGTGATTTGATACCGATGGTAGTGGTGGTTGTGGTGGTGGTGGTAGTGGTGGTAGTGATGGTAGTGATGGTGGTGCCACCACCACCGCTTAATTCTATATCGAATTCTCTTTTTCTAACCGATTGCAAATATTTCTTTGGGCTCGGTAATTTGACCAAGGTTTGAATCGATTCAATCGAATCCTTGTCTAATTTATTAACAATAACGCTTGTCATTCCTCCAGCAACATTGGCTGCTGCATTAACCGAAGATACAGAAACAACCCCCCCGGAAAATGTACTCTTGGTAGGAGGCGTCTCTTCCGGCGGGAGGGACACTGACAATGGTTGATGATGAGTCGGCCTTGATAGAATATCTTTCTTTTGGGGCGAGTCAGCCTTCGGAAGGATGGACGACTGCATGGCCTCGTTCTCATCAAACCGATCGAAATTCGCGAAATTGCCCTCTTCGTGGCGATCACCTTCCTTCAAAGGTAAATCATTCTGTAATTTTATAGAGTCCGAAGTATCCGACCTTAGATTGAAATTCGTTGGAAACGTATCCGTCGAATTGGTCTTTACTAAATCTTTAAGCACCTTTTTTGGAGGATTTTTCAGATGTTGGAAGAAGTCTTTCTTATCGACGTAAGGCTTTATCAGACCAGTCCCTAGGGGATCCAGTTCCGTGAATACATCGATCTGGGGACTTTTCGCTTGGCTACTTCTCGGGGTTGTGTTCAATGATGATGTCGTCTGCAATAATGAGTTCCAAATATTTCAGAAACACATATCTGTTATCCTATCGTATATAATAATATTAATATTCATTATTTTTCTATATTAATATAATTATCAATCGATTACTCACTTCTTCTTGTTCCTTTTTCCCTGAAGTATTATTATTTTTCGTTAAGCTCGTTAATTCGCCATCGTTGAAAAGATTTTCCGTTTCTTTGTCGAACCAATGAATCGTATCTTGAGGAGGTGGTGTTTTGCTATACAATGTTGTTGCAGGACTGGACGTTGCCGATGTTGTTGGGGCTGGAACGGTTTGTTGTCGTTCCAAATGGCCTCTTTTTGATGAGGATGGTGGTGGAGGTAAAATTGGTTGTACGGTATCTTTCAACTGTTACAAATCAATTCAAATATACAATTGTCAAAATTATTACGATTTAACATTTTACTAATAATTTCGGTTATATAATTAAATCAACAACAATAAAATCTAAATTACGTACTTTCATATTCGCAAATGAATCACCGAATGGATCACTCTCAAATAAATCATCAGCTGATGGTCCAGGTTGTTCCGGGGTTATTTTATCCATCTGATGTATTCCCTGTTGTAACGAGTTCAATTCGAATTGTAGATCCAACAAATCGGCAATGTCCCCACTTTGATTTTCGTTTTTCCTTTCGGTACTTTTATCACTCTCCGAATTTGTAATTCGCGTTCGATGAACTGACGACGATTCGGTTCCCGCTGCACCCTGCGATCAAAAAAGTTTTACGTGTTTCACATTCAATTCTTTTTTCATTGATACACTTTTTTTTTCTAAAATCAAAATTAACAAAATCCAACTATTATTTAGTCCAATTCGTACCGATTTACGAAGATAAAATCAGGAAAAACATTTCAGGTTAATCCCAATAATTAATAAACCCCCCGTTCCCCCATAATAAATATCTAATTGCAAATAAATATATTATCAACTTACTTTGGTATCCGGTGCTGGTTCAACGAACATACCAGTCGGATGAAACTTGATCGCATTGATAGCATTCTGTTCGATTTGTTGTTTCGCTAATTCGATTTCCTTTTTCTTTAGTTCGAACACAACTTGGAATAAATCTCTCATCGCAACAACCACCTACAGAAAAGTAAACTACAATATTGTTTCTTTCTCTTTCATATTTAAAAGCGTGTAACAAATCACGAAAAAGAAAAAACAAAGCCACCGATTTCCTCTTACAAACTCGTTAAATGTGAAATGCACATCAATGGAATATATTTGATTTATTATCAAAGTTAAAATATGATCAATCTCAATTCGTATAATTAATTCATTATTTTATTGTTCCTATACTTAATTGATCATTTATTTTATCTCACCACCTACCCTCTTCTTTTTATATTTTTATTTACCTCTTCAATATAAGCCCCTCTTAAATGTATCAATGGATCAAACGCGAGGTGGATTTACTTATGGGAGAGGATTACCGAGTCGTTTACGAGTCGACCAAAGCAGAAATTAAACTTGGAAATTGTAGTAAGACACCACCGACGTTGTTGAATTAATTCACCAGCTGTCAACTCTGGTAACCGAAGTTACAAACAGCCTGTGTTTCATTTCATTATTTCCTATATAGCTGTGTTATCGAATTTTCTAACTTGCCACGTTTTCATTAAAACGAGTATCCCTCTTTCTATGGGATCCCCCATATATATCATAAATATATTTACATATATTTCTATGTGGTCAATTGCATAAATTCAATTGCATATATTCAATTGTATCAATCATGATATTGTTTGTGAATGGTTGATCTTGTTTACATTATGCATTATTGGAAACTAACAATACTACCAAACAAAAGTTTACTATCACTTGTTGTATTCCATAAAAATCGAATATACCAATCGATCTATAATAATTATATTAAATATTAACACAAATACAATATTATGTTTTTTAAGTATTAAGTGTTATTGCATGAGACTCACACATGATGTTATTCAAGTGTCATGCAAGTTGTTCACTACTTTAAAGATATTCATTTTTTGGCTGAATTGATATTTAGATACCAAGCTTTTGGCAAGTAGTCTATGGGAAACGATTAAAACGTATAAAATGCGATTAGGTTCGTGCGAATGAACAAAATAGTAGGTAGTAGTTAGGTAATATAAAATTAAAGTTTCAAGAAGTTAGCTGGGAGGACTGGGGGGATTGGAGGGGGATTGGGGTAGATAGGGGAGATCCCATTCGGAATGAACACAAAGTGGACCGTGGATAATCCGACAACGATCATCCCCCCCGTCGTTTATCGATGGGGCTCGACGAATACGCAGTGAGAACCCAGAATGGCATAATACAATTATTTACATACGCCCCTGGAAATTACCGACACACTGGCGCTCCGATATATTGCTTTTCGGATTGGGCAAATATCATTTTTTATAGATAGATCCCTTCTAGTGAAACCAGATGCCCCTGTTGCGAATCGTTTTCCATATTAAAATCAAAATTCTCACCGAAATTCTTGGACTTTTGTTTTTTTTAACAACGTTCATAGAAACAACAGGGCGGCAATTATTTTTCATTCGGTTAGATGCAGGAAAAATTAACGCATATATTGATTATTACTGCAAGTTCTTAATTAAAGTTTTAATCTTCGATCGGGGGAATACCTGACTCGCTGATTTGTCCGTTTTAATGCCGAAAAATCTGTGCCCAGTGTCCGGTGATCCAAATATATAACCAAATGCTCTCGAATCGCTCATATCTTGAGCGATGAACGATATCTTGTGCACGGGATGATGGTACAAACATTCCTACGAAAATAATAATAATAATAATCATTTATTACAAATTGAAACACAAACAATTGATAAAGAAAATACAATATTGTTTCATTTAGCCGAAAACTTCAATTTACTTTGCTTGATTTAATACAATTATAATTGTCATAAATAATTTGTTATAATAAAGTGTGTCACTTGTGATTACGACAAATGAATTATTAATTATATAAAATGTTTTAACACAAATTATTAGAATATTGTAATTGAAAAATCTGATAACATTTAGGTTGATTTATAAATAAATGTTATTATGAACAGAAAAATGCTTGAACAAAATATTCGAATAAAATGTTGGATCGACTTACGCTAGATTTTTCATCCCTCAAACGAAGCCCATCTATGCTGACCTGAACAACAATCCTTTGTTTATGTTCACCGGCAGCACGAATCGCCATTTTCAAATCTGCCAATGCTGCTTGACACATTCGATCACCACGTGCTTCTGATACTTCCAATATACCAATCAGCTTCGCTTTGAACGAAACACCATCCCCGAGGAACCGTGTTGGCTCGTTCTTAACTACAAAAGGTTTTCAAATAAAAGGAACAACAATTTCTATATCGAATTAATAATCACGAATGTCGATTTATTCGGAAACAAAAAACACACACACACAGACAGAACAAAGAACAAAATCAGCATTGTGAAAAAAGTACGAGTGCTGATAAATCAATTTTCATGTTCGTGGTCTGATAAATCACACGCAGTGCTAACCGAAGTGAAATCAAATTGATAAACAGGACATAGACAACCCCCTACAACGACAAATTTCAACTCACACGCATGATCAAACTTTCCCGACATATTCCACCTATCGTAGACAAATCTATCGTGTAAAAGGAAATTGAACGGATGCGATCATCGAGATCGTGTTATCAAATTTGAAGCAATTGGGGGTGAGGGAGAGGTTTGAAAAGTGAAGAAGAGAGTCATGGGGTGCAGGGTGAGTTAAGATCTAATTCTAATGCAAGCCATAAAAACGATATTAACGCGATATCGATTGCTTTTGAAAAACCTACTCGAGACACCCGACACATGTTAGTGGATTATTTTTTTTTTGTATTCTCTCCTTTTAAATATCCTTACGTAAGATACTTTAAAAATCGTTTTTATCATTTTCGCACTACGATTCGATTAATTATTTATTTATTATCGAAGTTTATAGAAGAACAAATAAATATACCAAAAGAAAAACAAAAATGCAATTAAGTCTCGTAAGTCAAATTTAAAAAATACTTGAATATATTTATATATTTATATATATACGTGTATAGGTACTCATCAAAAAATCAAATAAAGTACCGAAGATACTTTAACGTTGTAATAATTGTTATGAAAGGTCCGATAGACGTCGTAGATCAAGTGCAAATCTCGCGCATCTGTCGTGGATTCATTCATTGAATGGAAGACAAGAAAACTAAGAGAATTATCGTTCGATGAAAGTTTTCTAAGTTTTTAAAAGGGACCGCGATGCAATTGCTTTCAATTCGCTCCCCGACAAAATTTCAAGTATCGACAGTTGGCGTTCTCCACTTCAAACTGACGAGTACGTACAAACAAATACGAGAATGGTAGTTCTCGATCATTTGAATACTCCTTGAGAAAGGAACCCTATGAGTTGTTGGAGTGAAGAATTCGCTAAATATATCTACGATTCGTGCTAACATAAATCCCTACGATTGTTTTTTCTTTTTTTTAGATAATTTTCAAACGATTTTTTGATCAATGTTTTGCGATAAATTAATTATAATTAAATTACGTGTTAATTATAGAATATTTTCGACACATTTTATCTGACGCAACCCTCAAAAGAGATTATCTAAGTTATTTAATAACAAAATTTGTCAATAAATTATTTTGTATACGCTTAAAAGAAAAGAACAAAATGAAGAATTAATTAGAATCGTGTTTAGAGTTTGGGTAGTGGTTAAAAAAAATCAGTAGTAAGATCGCATGTTTGGTCCAACAAGGAATAAGTAGCGCCATCTCTGATTGGTCAGACTCAATCTAACATGCATTGTATATACGAAATAAGGGAGGTCGGTAAAACGAAGGACACACAATTGGTTTTCATGACGACACGAGAAACACAACTATATTAAAAATATAAAAACACATAAACGATTTCATTTCATTATTTTCTTATGTTATTAAATATCAAATAAATATAATCATATATAGACAAAATATATATACTCTAATAGAAAATAATAAATTATTCATTACCATGATAATACATATATATATAATTTGATATATACATATACATATATATATCAAATTGCATGAGTAATATTAAAAAATGATAGATCATGATATTAGATAATCGATTAACACTTTTTTTATATTTTTTGCACCCATATTAATTTTTCTATCCCTCTTTTCGTGCTAACATATAAAAGGAAAGAAGCCATATTTCGAGAGACACCCCTAACGAAAGATGTTACAAGGTGTTAACGCCGCAGTATCGTATTGCATACCCTTGCCAAAACTCAAATGTCACAATAATCCAATTAAATTATTCCAATCATCTGCATAATAAAACAATACACTTTCTCACCCTTCATCCAACAATATTTCACCCAAGCCCCTTCAAAAAAAAAAGAAATAGAAAAATAAATGATAATAATCAATGACGTGCACAGCAAACACGACGATCAAATAATATTACAAATCATTCGTATTATTGTTAAACAATTTTTAAATATGTCAATTATTTTTTACTCACACTTGCACGGGCTGTTTTTTTTCCGTAAGGTCTGCATCGGTGGTTGATATAAGCCAATGAATATTAGTAGTAGATAAGGATAACCGCGTATCAACCTTTCGTTAATTCTTGATATATATATAGTATGTCAGAGAATTAAATAAGAATAATTAATAATATTAGAATAATAGAAGTAGAAGTAGAAGTAGAAGTAGAAGAAGTAGAAGAAGAAGAAAATTTCGTCGATCCTTTTTCGACGCACCTCCGCCGTTGTCACTTTTGAGGACAGGATACTCGGCACGGACACATGTTCGCACACTATCTCCCTCTCCCTCCCCCTCTGCACACCTACACCCCCCTCTCTCTCTATTTCTATCAAACTCAATCTCAATACTCGCGTTTATTTCTTCTTGTTCACGCACACTTGCTTACTTGTAAGCTCGCACTCCTCACATTATCTCTTTCACCCCCTTTGCACTTTCTCACCCTCTCTCTTGGTCCTCCCCCTCCCACCCCCACCACTGCCACCTTCACCTTTTTACGTTGATACTGTGTATGTGTACGTACGCGTGTGTGTAAATGTGTTGTATGTCTTTTCTACGGTTCCGTTTCGCGACACCGAAAGAAGGGGGCGCGCGCGCGCACGCGCGCACACGCACTAACTCACTCACGAACTTCTCCTCCCTTTTCTTTCTATTTCTTATTCTACAACCCTCTCCCCCCCCCAATACCCCTTTTGTCTTTTATACACAAAATAATAAAAAGAGAGATGAGATTGGCGCGTTGTTTCTTTCTATTTTCACCCACCACCACCACCACCACCACCACCACTAACACACTTCTCTCTTTCGATTTATTCTTTTCTCTCTCTCTTTCTCTCTGTTTTATCGTTTGCACTCTTTCATCACTTCGAATATCGTCCTAATACATTTATTCTCATCCCTTCCATGTTTAACTTGACTCTTTAATTCACTTATACACGCGCACACGAGTTTACACGCACACGCAGATGAAAACGCGTGTACCCAGAGACAGAAGGTTGTGAACGAATAAACAAATTAATCGTATCTCAGTTGTGTGTGTGTGTCGGAAGAATCCTAACGTGTAAATATAATATTTAAAATGGCGTGTTTATATATCAATTGATATAAATTTTGTTCGTGCGTGTCTGTCCGTCTGTCTGCTATCTGTGCTGTGCTGTGTACGTGCGTGCTTGCGTATGTGTGGTTTATATTTTTTTGTTTCCCCCAAAGGCGTGTTACTCGCGTGAGAGAGAAAAATTGTGCAGAGGAAATGACAGCTGGCTGCTGCTACTACCGGCACACGGGGTCTCCTCTCCTCGACCATAGCTTCACTTATTGATCAATAATACACCGCCTAGTAATAGTAGTAGTAGTAGTAGTAGTAATAGTAGTAGTGGTAGTAGTAGTAGTACGCGCCGTCGTCGTTTCGTGGCTTGCTTTTATGCACGTTTTTTTACTAATATTATATCTTCACTTTAATGTTACTATACTGTTTTTCTATGAAACAATGACTACTCACCCTCTATAGGGGTGTATAATACATATTCTTCTATTATATAATGTTTATTTTTTTCGGCTAACAAATGTGAAGATATTTAATGAGATATTTAATGATTTTAAAAAACATTAGAAGAAGATAAGAAGTGTACCAATTTTTCGTACATCAAATGTGATCCTATTGTATGATCGAATTTTCTAAATAAAATTGAGATTTCTAAACAGGATCTGTTTGTGCTTTTTTTTTGAAGATAAATATAGTATGGATTTGTATATGAATTCAATTTAAGAATGCAATACGTTGTTCTTGAGCAGCTGTGTTGCGTTATCGATAATCCTCCCAAGTTTCAGGAAACTTTTCAAAGTACTCAGATGTGATAGGAATTTGATATTTTTTCAAATTATTCCCATTGTATGAGGTGGAACTGTAACAGGAATATAATAGACATATGAAATACATAATAGTATTTTATATATGTGTTACTGTGTAAAAGAGCGACAGATTTTTAGTTGAAAAATAATTGAACACAAGAAGAAGAACGAATATCCCGGCTAGGTGCGCGCGTCGTTTTGTCATGGGGTCAAACCATTCAATAGAGATGGGATAACCAGCTAGGAAATTTAGTTCCTTGACTGGATAAAAAGATGGCGCTTAACGGGATAACAATATGAAATTTTGTTTTTAATTTAAATTATAACAAATTAAAGAAAATAAAGTTTAGATTCTAATTGGAGAAATAATTTTGTTTTTGCAATCGTTATTTTCAAATGAATCCAAAAGAAATCAAATGTCGTGTGTTACCATTTAATTATAAATTTATGTTAATAGAATTTTTTTTTTTTATTATATTTTAGTATAAAAAAGAAAAAAGAATACAATATTGTCAAGTCCTTAAAAGAGATATTTAAATCGAATTTTTATATCTGTCGCATTTTATTATTTGGGGCACGTAGTATTTCTAAAAGAAATTCAAGATGGCGTTGAACAATATCGCACGACGAGTTCAAACGATTAAGAAAAATTGTCACAATCTTTTCATGTAAATAGAAAAAAAAAAAATGCGCATTCGTATAAAAATCAAATCAAAGATAGATCTCTATGTTCTTGCTTCATAAATTCAAACTATTGCGTTTGTCACTTGACATTACGACAACACAACATTAACCTTTAAACTTATCAATATCTATAAATATTAAATATACGATTCCTCTCTGAGAAATAAATTCCAGATAAATGATACTCACATAATTCGAATACTACGATAAACACATAATCACAAAAAAATATATATATGAATTAAGTTAATTATAAATTACACAAAAGTCTATGCAAAAAGAGAAATTGTCGGAATACTAAAAAAAGTAGTGCCGAAAGTAAATGACCCGGATCAAAATGGCGGCTACAAAATTTTGAATAATGCTCATTTAATAATTGTTCAATAAATACGTACCTATACTTGTGGCAAAAACACACAAACAAAATGAACAATTAAATATTATATTAACAATAGTAAAAAACGGAATAGACGATGAGACATGATATTAAGAAAATAAAGAATTGAATTTAAATAGATAAATTTGAAATGAAGTTAAAAAGCGTAGAGAAATTGAACGTAGAAATATTGGCACGTATCACAAACTACAAAGAAACACGCGAGATCTCGCATGATATGCATTGACGTAGATAGAATATACTTAATAATGATCATTAATATAAATTATGATGATAAGCAAAATCAAAAGACGAAGAAGAAGAAGAAGAAGAAAAAGATTAAAAATACAAAATACAAATAAAACTTATATATAAACTATAAAAATAAAATAGAAAATTATTGAAAGAAGATTTATGTAATAAGGATTATTTTGGGTTAGCGTTAATTATAAAAATCAAAATTTATTCGTGTAGGTGTTTGTGTGTGTTAAAGTATTTCTTACCAATTGGTAAATATAGTATTAGTATTTAATAGTAGTAGTTAGAATATAAAATAAAAGCGTATAACAGTATTTGGTCGCGCCAATGACCGATGAGGAAGAGCGCCTGCGGAGGGCGACGAAAAGCGTCGTCGGTAGAGCGCACATTCAGTCACGAAGAGAGAAACACAGACAGTCCGCGTTCAGACACCGTAACGCGACGTTTTCGATGGTGTTATGGTGACGAGGTGGGATATTTCGTAGACTCTTTTTTCAATAAAAGAGTCAACGAAAATATATAAAAGAGGATTTTGTTTTCTATTTAAAATTCATTTTATTCTACACACAAACAATATATATTTCAAATTACGAATAATATAAAATATCTTTCCTGTGAAAAACTAAAGGTGAGAAAAAGGGGGGCAGAAAAAAAAAAAAACACGAAGAAAAGAAAGTTTTCGTTTAAACCGAATTATACAATCGATCCAATTGTTATTTAACCGGTGAATTCAATCAAAGAAGAAGAAGAAGAAGAAGAAGAAGAGAAAAATAATTCGAATTAGGACGAAATTTATTTTGTCCTATTTTAAAATTTCAAATTCTCGATAAGAGAACGACAAAAACTAAGAAAAAAGAGAGAGAGTCCAACGTGTTTAACGTGCTTTCACGGTGAAGACATTGATCACTCATATCTCTCTCTCTCTCTTTAACATTTTCTATTTCTATCTCTCCCTCTCTCTCTATCAGGTTACATAGAAATAAATGTATTATTATTCTCTATAACGATGGGCCAGAAATTACGAGATTTCTTAACAGGCTTCTTGTTCGTCGTCTTAGGAGTTTTCACGATCACGAGTGATGCCAGGTCATGGGGTAAGTGTCTCTCAGATCATCATTCTATCTCATCTTTTTAATCATTCGTCAAAAAGAAACAGATCAGCCAGTGTATCTTTTTATATCTATATATATACATATAACTGGATTTACATACTATATATATAGATATATATATATATATGTATATGTATTTCTATCTCTGTCTTATTCACTTAGTAACTCACTAACAAAACACTTATACAAACATAGTATTGTTCCTGTAAAACGATAATACAAACCGCGCGATTCTCTTAATCTATCTATCTCTCTCTATCTTTCGTTCTCATGCATTATATCTCTCTCTCTCTAACTTATAATATATCGAGCGAGTAACACTTGTGTGCGTGTGTCATGCAGGGAATGCGCGCGCGCGCGCAAACCCTGACTCCATTCACGTTAAACTGATCGGCACGTACGCCAGTTTTCGTCTAGCTCCTGCAATTTCCTATTGGGGGGAGGGGGGA